TCCCCATGTAATTAAAAAATGCTTCATAAGGGAGGAATTCAAGCTGCAGAATAATACATATAGTCTGGTCCAAAGGGAAAAGCACAACCCAAAATAGCAATGTATATTTCCTATGCACACACGGAAAACATTTGTGTGAAACTCGGAACAGACACACTGCAAACTCAGAGCCGTGGGATACATCTGGGGAGACGGGAGAGCAAGGCTGACCAGAGCAGAGGTTCTCCTTGTTTTATTAGCTCTCTGTGTAACTGGGGATGTGAGTTCTCAAGTACTGTGTATATAGTTGAAATTATTATTTTTTCTTCTTCTTTTGTGGTACAGTGATTGAACCTAGGGCCTTCCCCTGAGCTACAGCCCCAGCCCTTTATTTTTTATTATTTATTGATTTATTTTGAGACAAGTTCACACTAAGTCACCAAGTTGCCCACACCAGACTCAAACCTGTGATCCTCCTGCCTCAACTTCCCAGAGTATTGGGATTATAGGTATTAGGCACGACATCTAATTAGCCAAAGTTACTTCTAAGATTTGAAGTTTATTAAGTCATAATTACATTGCTTAATGTTATACTGTAGGACCTCTCTTCTAAGGTTGAACATCAGAATTTTAAAATAATTTTTAACTATTCTAAATAATTTTGTAATCAATATCTCTGGGTGGAATTTTTTGTCTGAGGCTTAGAGTGGATTTCTGCAAGCAGACTTCTTTTGTGGTTGTTATTTTTTGGATTTTTTTTGAGCCAGGGTCTTGTTATGCAGTTCAGGCTGGCCTTGAACTCACAGTGATCCTCCTGCCTCAGCCTCTGGAGTTCTAGGATTCCAGGCATGGGCCACCAATCCCCGCTGCAAGCAGAAATTGGGGTTCATCTCACACTCTTCTGAGCACTGCCTGTTCACGTCTGGGTCACTAAAATGTCGCAAGCACTGAGTGCTAACAATTTTTAAAATCATTTCCAGCTTAGTACTGGGTTATTTAACTGTAATGAGTGCTTTATTGCTGGTGGAGCTAAGTTTCTGCAAATATATTCATTAGCTATTTTCCCTGAGGAAAGATGTTTCCTCACAGACTTTGAGAGGAGAAACTCTTATTGGTGGGGAGCAGGAAGAATGCACATTGAGCAGTACACTGCTGTCCTGTTTTGGTGTTTTAGGCCTCGAATTCTTCTGCATTTCACTGTTCAGGGGCAGTGGAAGATAACAAAAGGCAGACTGCGGGCCAGGATGGCAGACGAGAGGTGGCTCCGAGTCAGCCCCAAGCTCCTGAAGTTAATCTTTCTCAAGGGCAGCCCTACTTGCACTCATCACGGACTTGCCCCCTCTTCCATGTCTCCTCACCCAACAAGAGCAAGTGGCCTCCAAGGCCCCCCAACCAACCCTCTCAAGCATGTGTTCCCTCCCTTTTGTACACATCCTACCTTCCACTCAGTACTGTTTCCCACCCTTCAACTCACTGCCCCAGTCTGGAGTCTTCCCACTGCTAGCACTGTTGATCCTTCCGCTGAACCACCACTCTACCCGATCCCCACACTGACCTTTCCCTCTTTTGGTGATTCCAAATGTCGCCTCATGCTTGTACGTATTCCCTTAAAGTGATTTTATTCCAGTCCTTTAAACTTTTAGTGGTTCCCAAGGCAGACATTAAGCACCAAGGCTCACACCCTGGTGTGTGGGTGTGATGGTTAATTTAGGTGTCAGCGTGGCTGCTCTAAGGGCTGCCCACAAAGATGGGGAAGCACTGTTGCCAGGTGTGCCTGTGAGAATGTGGAAGAGATTGGCCATTGAGTCCATAGACTGAGTAAAGAAGGTTCACACTTATCACAGGGGCAGGCGTCATCCAATCTGGTGAGCACCTAATGGAGCCAAAAGGTGGAGGAAGGGCAGCTCTTCTTCCTGCTTGAGCTGCCCCATCCATCTTTTCTGTTCTCAGACATCAATGCTGCTGGCTTCTGGAACCTCCGGCTCAGGCAGGTGTTTACACCTGGTTCTCAGCCTTTGGGCTTGTCTGGAGCCATGCCCCAGCTTCCATGTTCCACCAGCTGGAAGACGGCAGGTCATGGGCCTTCTCAAACTCCATAACGTGAGGTTGATCCTCATAATAAATACCCTTCTGTATTTCTGTACATTGAAACTTTTTTCTCTGTTTCTCTAAAGAATCTGACTAATGTAGTGAGGTTCTCCCACTTCCTATGTGTGGACGTCAGGCAAATTATTAAGGGAACAATATCTAATTCCATCTCACAAAAACCAGAATATTAAATGAGACCACACAAATAAAATATCCACAGTTCCTGCCATATAATAAATGTCAATAACTGCTAGTCTCTACCTCCAGTTCTTTTACATTAGGATAAGATATATATATATATATAATTTCTAGAGTACAAATCCTGACAGGACAGACTGCAATCCCTGTACATTTAAAAGTCCTCTACACCTCTACACTGCAACACCCAGCACAACACTTTACACACAGTAAATATGCACTAAAGGTGTGTTGAATTTGGGTAAGATCAAAGTCAAATCATTGGGAATTTATTTTCAGCAAATGCATGAAATGTCCCAAAGGACAGAAGTAAAGAGAAATGATGCAGCGTGGATTCGGGTTTCGAGACTGGGTTTTCCATTCTCTGATTGTGGGACTCTGGGAAAGCCATTTACTCCATGTCTAAGCCTTCCTTCCTGTGTCTTTGAAAGGAGCTATTAATAGAAACTTAGCTCATGGAGTTTCTGGAGGAGGAGCACATGAGCTCATCCGCAGAGAAGAGAGCCCCAGACACCTAACAGTGAATCCTCGGTCGGAAACAGTTCTCATCTCTGGTATCAAAGCAGGGAAAGATGAAGCATTGCAAAAATTCAAGTTATTGAACAAAGACCAAAATATGTATCTCACTAGTTCATACTTTTTTAAAGTTCCTAAGAATGCTCTTGAATTATAGAATTTGTTTAAAATTTGATTATTTAATGTCTTTTAATGTAGACATATTTTGTAAATAAGGAGTGAACTGCTTTAATTAATACAAGTAGTCTGAACTTTCTGAGCGTGTCGTCCTCTGCATCATTCTCCTAGGATGGCAAGGACATGGCACACCTCCACTGTGCTCATCCATCTACAGAATACCTGGAGGGGGCCAGGCACTTTGCAAAGCACACTGGAAGGACAAGGTACATCCCTGCTGGTCTAAGGGGTCAGTATTGGTGCTCTACAGGTACAAAGACAATTAATTTAAAAGGTTTCAAGTTAATTGCTCCTTTTTGTACTAAAACTGTAAAATCGGAGAAACAGAAGAAATGTCACATACATGTTATTTTTGTTGTGGGATTCAAAAAAGATAATCTGGGTAGACATATTTTTTTAAAGTGTTAGACAAATATTAAGCAATATCACTTAGCCCCTTATTACCTATCAAGGGGTGGAACTTTGCAAAAATTAAGTCCCAGGACAGTCAGGTTTGAATGGTCCTGAGCTCAGGAAGGCAAGGAGGCCTGGAGCACTGAGCTTGACCTACCCATGACTTGGTCAGAAAGCCAAGCCTGAGAAGGCTGTAGGGGGCTACCCCTGTTCTGTGTCTAGTTTTCCCTCTGTACACGCCTGGCTCTGCTGGCAGCACCCACTGGCTCTGAGAGAAGAAGGATCCGGATTTACCTGGTCCCAGCATAACATGCTGTTCTTAGCTACTCTGGTCAGCACATCCCCAGTCAGATACTGTTGATCATCCTGAGAACAGCAGCCTGTGGCGATGAGCTCTTGGGCCTGACAAGGCGATAAGCAAGCCTCAGCTGGGCTGCATGGGCTCTGGCCTCCTCCTCCTGCCTGAAGGATGCTGCACAATCCTCAACAGCCAGAGGAGTTTTCACCCACTCCCAGCCCCTTCACTTTCAGATTCACCCAACTGACCAGCAGCTGAGAGGGAGGAAGTTCTCTGGTTTAATGCATCTGCAAGGCAAATGTTCTTTTACCTTCTGTCTTAAAAACAAAAGCCAACTTTTCTTTGTAAAATATATGCATACTATTGAGAAAACAAAATATACAGATAAACAAATCTCTACCATCCAGAATTAATAATCTTGACATTTTGGTTTATGTTGCCTTTAGAGACTATATAGATACAGTCTCATATAAATATTTATTTATTTATTTAGGAATAGTGTCCTGTGAGCACAAAAAGAAAGAGAGGGAAATGGATTGCAAGTCCTCCAAGTTCCTTGTACTTTCTAGGAAGTGCTAAAAGTGCTCTATATGACAGTACCCTTTATACTAAGAGTAATAAATCAAGGATGAACATTTAAATCTATAGGGTAACCATTGAATGACTAGTAAAACCATTTGTGATGATACATACTACCTAGATATGCTGCATAGGGAATGACAAAAAATAGTTCTGGAAAAAATACAACATTTGGAAGAAGAAAATAGTATAGGATGAATTTCATATTGATATGGGTTCAAACCAGAAATCAAGCCCTAGTAAAACCCCTGATAGATAGCTTGCACACTTCTGACTTGAGTAATCAGAGTTCAGTCACAGATTTTACAGAGTACATAAGTAAATGTACAGTATATTTGTGGCATTAAACTTCAGGGAGATGTGATGAGGGGGAATGTCCAAATAGCGTAATAAAGGGTGATAACAGAAGTAAAAGGTTAAGAAATATTAAATTAGATCAAAAGAAGGCAGGAAGGTGGCACACAAGGGCAAAAACAGACAAGGAAAACAGAAAACAAGTCATGTGTTGCTTAACAACGGGGATGTGTTCTAAGAAATGTGTGGTTAGGATACTTCTCAGCATGCGTCATTAGGTGACTTCGCTGTGTTTGAGCACCCTAGTGTGTACTTACACACACTGAAAGGGCCACAGCATCACTAGGCAACATAATCCCACAGACCAGCATGGTGCATGTGGTCTACCAGGAACCAGACTGTCACTGCATGACACATGACTGTATTCACCAAGGAGACCTGAACCTGAACATATCAATATTATATTAAAGATTCCTGGGCAAACATAATGCTCAAAGGCTGGTATTCCCTGCAAGATACTATGAAGTGGACAGAGTTTGAGCTCTGGAGTAAGGTAGGAGAACATTTGAACCGAGCTTAATCATGTATGTTTCCTCGAATGTCCAGTGGGGATTTATTCCTATTTCCCTCACAGAGTTAAATGATGTTGTACGTGGAATGTTGCTGGTATAGTTCCTGGCACCAAGGAAGTACTCAGTAAACCCCTTCTCTTATAATTTACCATAACAATAGAAGAGATGGCGGGCAGTTTCTCAAGCACTTAACAACATAAGAAAGCTGGGTACATCACAGGTTGAGCTGAGCATGGCAGTGCACACCTATAGTCTCAGTAACTGGGAGGCTGAGGCAGGAGGATTGTCATGAGGTTGAGGCCAGCCTGGGCTACATAATTAGTTCAAGACCAGCCTAAAATACATAGGGAGACTCTGTCTCAAAAAGCAAGAAAAAAATAACAGGAGTTGGTAAATTATGGTCACAGGACAAATCTAAACTGATATTTATTTTCACAAATAGGTTTTATTAGAACACAACTACACCCATTTATTACTGGATTGTGTACAGTTACTTTTTTCTTATGACAGAGTAGCTACTGGTCCATAAAACCTACAATAGTCACTATCTGCTCCTTTATAGAGAAATTTTGTTCATCTTTGATCTAGAACATGATTAAGGAATTTTACTTCCAAAATTCCCAACAAATGGGGTTTTGTTGTTGTTTTGGTTTGTTTGGTTTTGGGGTTTTTTTCATTTTTTGTTTTTGTTTTTGGCTTTTTGAAACAATTTCCCTATGTATTTTAGGCTGGACTTGAACTCACTATGTAGCCCAGGCTGGCCTCGAACTTATGGAGATCCTCCTGCCTCAGCCTCCCAGTGCTGGGTCTGTAGGCCTACATCACCATGCCTAGCTAGTTTTTATTTTTTGAGGCATCTCATACCAATGTTTTTAATTTAATACTTATAATTCCATTTAATTAGCAGTAAATAAATTGCCTTATAACCAGAAAGTGTTGCGAATTATTTAGATGTCCATTTGATGAAAACTACAATCCACACTTGGATCTGATACCTGATCTCTGAACCCTCTGTCTTTCCTTATAAACTTTTATTGTGATAATTCTAAGAATCATGCTAGAAGAATTGTCCAAGGGTCATTGAAATATCTTGCTCCAATGTTAAAGTGTATTTCCTTGTATGCGTATTCACTTTAGCACATGCATGTCCTTATTATTCTGTCCACTTTTCAGAAGAGAAAACCGAGGTTGAAAGAAATTTAGCCATTTGCCAACCAGTGGGACACCTCATCTAGTGCACTGAGCATCAAGCGTAGTATGGCTCTATGCAAATCTATCACCCATGTGCCCAGTCCTCAGGGAAGTATCAGCATACGCACCAAGCATTAAGGCAGCCCAAACTCTCACTTTAATAAGTAACAAGAGTACACAGAAGCTTGTCGATATAAAGGCACTAACGCATTGGAATTGAGGCCCTTAGTTAAGTAATTAAAACTATTAGCTTTGGCTTGCATGCTGTAAAAGTATACAAAAGCAGGAAAGCGTGCGCTCTAAGCCTATTGAGTTAGCACAATAACCAGCACTCGAACAGACCTCCCTTGTCCAGGAAAAATCTGTGTGATGCCAGCACTCAGCAAATCCAACCAGTAATTCTTTGAGCCCCAAGCGCCAGTGTCTGCACTCACACAGGGGGTTGAACATGATGGTAAGCACACTTCACTTCCAAAACACTGCAGCCCAGGAAGGAGATAGATCCACACACATGCATATTAATATCCACCTAAGAAAGAAATCAGAAGGAAATTTGTAGCAAGTAGGTACAAAGAACTTCTATCTTGGAAGTTCAAGTGTTCTGTGCTAGCTTGGTTAAGACACAGAGTTACCAAAGTGAAATGTGAGCTCAGCACTTTGCTAGGGGCTGCCCACTTGCCCTTGCAGATCTGCCCTCTGCCTCCATCCACTCTGCTCTGTGCCCTGGGTGCTGAGCTTCCTGTCTTGCATCAGTAGCATCCTGTGAGCTCTGACTGCGTGGGTATGGCTAATGGGCAGCTTAAGCAGGTCCCAGGGAGTTGAGAAGAGAGAGGAGAGGGTGTTCATTCCTTGCCCCCTGTGCTGTCAAGCTTTGTGTTCACATTGTCTGGGTTTTTCTACCAAGGCGCACAACTCCCCTGAGGTGGCTCCTTCTCTCCAGTTCAGAAAGAGTTCCTTGCTGTGAGCCTCTCAGACCCAAGGTGGGAGAAAGTCTGTGCTCTCACGAACTCCAGGTTCCACTGTCCTTCCTTGGTTTCTCCTAAACCTGCTGACACATTTGAACTGATGGTCCCTCATCACATTCACCTCGATGACTCCATCAGAGTTGCTGTCAGTCTTCTGCCGGGGTCCTAGGATACAGCCCAGAGGAAACCTTCATAGCTGTAAACTGCTTGGGGATATGCACTTCAGAGAAAAAAACAAAACAAAATGCACATCCCAATCCTCCACACACAGATCCCTGTGTGGTCTGAGGTCACTTCTTTAACCTTTTTGAGCACAGTGTCCACGTTTGCATAAGAAGGAGAAGAATGCTTGCCCCTGGACCGTGTAGAGATGGAGTGGGGTAACATGGAAAATGAGTGGGACAAGTTAAGTTCCAATGCAGGCAGGTGTGCCGGTGCATGGAGGCCTGGTACCTCCTGTGGTGAGGACCAGGCTGCCCAAGGAACAACCCCCCTCCCAGGGTCCCAGCAGGGTGACACAGTACATTTCTGTGGCTCCCTTTGGATTGGTGTAAAGCTATCAAAATCATAACAGGAAAGAGTCAGCTCAGTGTGAGACCCCAGACTCATCTCAGTATCTTCCTCCTTTCTCCCTCCCCAAGAGTCACAGCATGCCAACCTCATAAGCGTGTGAGGAGGAAGTGGCCTGTCCAGAGAATGAAATGCAGAGCAGAGCAGAATGTGTCCAGACAAAAGGACTGGCTTCTCCTTCCGACATCCAAGGGTGTTATGGTTTGTGTTTGCACGTCCCCCCAGATCCTCGTGCAGTCACGGGGCGGGCTTGTATTCTAAATTTTTGATTGGTCTATAGTCCACACTGGGATTATGGGTGTGAGAGCTGCACCCGCCCTGCGGTGGGTAGTTTACATACAATGTAAGCGAAGGAAAGAGGCTTGCTCTTCCCTCTGCCCGCTGCTCCTCACTTTTGCTCTTGTTTTTGCTGTCTTCCACCCGGCCATGAAGTGTTGCACTCTGCCATGTGCCACTCTGCCTTGGAGCCACCCAAGTATGGACTGAAACCTCCACAAATTGTCAGCTAAATAAACCTTTCCTTCCTTAATTGTGGAGGGGTATTTTGTCTCAGCAATGAGAGAAGAGTAACTGACACAAAGGGCAAGGTCACCAAAGCAAAAAAAAGTCAGGAGCCTCAAAGAAAAGAGGACAACACTAGTGTTACAGGCAGCTATGGGAAACGTGGGATGGCAGCTACAGGCTTCCAGTTATAACTTGTCTCCCAGCTTCATTTTCCTCTCTGGCTGTTGAAACTGGCTTCATTCAAACTGAGTTAATTGCCAATATTCATGTATCTATTCATTTGTTTATTCCTTTACTTTCATTGTCACCTATCTGATAATTTATTCAGTCATTTATTTGCTAACTTATTCAAGAACTCATCCTTCCATTCATGTATTTATTTCTCATCTATCAACATAACATTCACTGAGTATCTTCTTACTACCCTGGGTCATGCACACTGCAGGCTGTGTAGAGAAATGACATCATTCATACACACTGCCGAATCTCCATCACCTGTCCTAGAAGAATGAGCAGGGCTTTGCCAACATGCAAATAAACAACCCATGCAGAGGGAGCAGGATTTAAAGGGCAAAATCAATCAAGGTCATGGCTTGCCTGAGCAAAGGAGAGATGCTCATGTTGGCTGGAACCCTGGGCTGGATGGAGACGAGGAGGCTGGGTAGAGGACAGGAGTCAAGGTGAATGTTGGGGTGCAGTGTGTGGATGCCAGCCTGGGAACCCGACTTAATCCAGAGGAAACTGGATCATCCACTGGTTTTTCATTAGGGCAATAGAATGTAACCTTTTAAGGATCTTGTAATCCCAGTACTTGGGAGGCTGAGGTAGGAAGATTATTGTGAGTTCAAGACCAGCCTGGGCTATAAAGTGAGCTCAAGGCCAGCCTGAACTGCATAGTGAGACCCTGTCTCAAAAAGACCAAACAAACAAACAAAAGGATGGCAACTCCTCCCCAAAAGGAGAAACTCAGGCCAGGAGATCAGAGAGAAGACAGGTTGAGTCATGGTGATGAAGGTAAAGAATGTTTCTGGGTAAGTTTGACAAGTCATGTCTCTCAATCCCATCTAAATAAAATCAAGTCGGGGAGCAGAAGTACCTTTACCACTAGCACTCCTTTGACTGAGCTGAAGCCTTTATCCAAGCCAGAACATTAACTACTGTGTGTTCCCTCCAACAGAAACAGCATATCTCTTTTGGGCAACAGCCCAGGTTTATCTGCAGCCCTGAGAGTAATGATGCTTCAGGCTTAAAGAGATCTTTCTCTGCTCATTCCTGATAGAATCTTTAGGATGCTCTCATTTTACAAAGGAGAAATACTAAGTGAGACCCACAAAGGTTAGGCAACATCTCAAGGTCACATAGCCTGAAAGTGACAGAGCTGGCTGCGGATCCCATGCCTACTGAGGACAGACCCCAGACTTTCTGAAGCATCACTAAATGTATCTTGAGAACTATGTACACAATAAGGCTATAAAACTTACAGATGGTATGCAAAGAAAATAATTACTGTGGGGGTCTGGGGATTTAGCTCAGCGGCACAGTGCCTGCCTGGCAAGCGCGAGATCATGAGTTTGATTCCCCGTACCGGAAAAAAACAAAAAAACAAAACAAAACAAAAAAAACAAAATAATTATAGTGCAAGAGCCATTTTTCATAAAATTCCTTTTATATTGCTTTAAAGTTTAAAGGTTACAAAATTGAATGTGTGTGTGTGTGTGTGTATTCAGTGGAGTCATAAAGGAGTCATGTAA